TCGATACCCGTGGTGGGCAGAGCACAGATAGCCTATTGTGTAGCTTTGTGCTTAATTACAAACAAACAAACAAAACTCATCAAATAAGATTAATAAATTATTACAGAAGTATTAAATTAATAGAAATACTATCATATCTATATTTAATTTCAAACGCATTTTTCAATGGATAAAAATATATAGAGCTCTGAGGGCATATGTTTAAACTTGAATTTAAAGCTATCACTAGTTAAAATCCTTATGTTTTCTTCTCTTTTCAATATGTTTGTTTCCAGTTATGCTTAATTATATCTTATTTTGCGTCCACATTGCCATCTAGTGTAGTAACAATGAGACAAATAAAATTAAAGTGGTGTGATTATAACCATAAGGAAATTGACACAGTGAACTTATTTGAAAATGCTCCTCAATAAACCTCGGAGCATTTTTTTATTATGTTAAATTCGCTAGTTTATGTTGGAGGAAATTCAAAAACTAATGCCCATTTCTCACACTTTTATTTCACTGTACAGTATCTAAACTCAAATTATCTTGGTTTTTGGACTAGCTACCTCAGTCAAGGTCAAGTTCTCGAATCGTTTTATTTACTTGCCAGATTCGACTGGATAAAGAAAACTAAAGACTAGTTAACCTTTTGACTACTACTTACATTTTAAAGGATATCCCACTAATGAAGTTTGCGGTCCCTGATACCCATAATTTTGGAAATTATCGATAATGCAATGAATCAATAACAGGTTATCTTTATGTAAGGTATCCATATAATTAAGAGAAAACCGTGTCCAACCAATTAGCCTACGGTACCAAGTTCTTAGACCTCTGAGTTAGGAGCCATATTGGTAGAATAAAAATGTTTTTAATTAACCACCTAATTTTCTAGGTCAATAACATAATAACAGCTATACTACTGGATGAAGCGTCACTTCTTCGAGCTACCAAAGAAGTAATTTTCTTGTATATCAATTACCCTGTCACTGGTTTTGTTTACCGCCCCATATTTACCAGTTATTCATAAACGATCTTTTGTTGTATCTGGAGTCTTATATAAGTCCTTGTGATGTTGGGTGAAATATCGCATTAGAAATGTCTGGAGCATTCAGAAATGCTTTTTCGTGAACTTCAATAGTAACTATTGCATTTCTTGATGTTCATGTTTAACTCATCTCTTGGGATTTAGCAAACTGTTACTCATCTAAAAATTGTTAACAATGCAATTTGTCAAACACAAACTTACAATTTCTATTCGGTTCTGACCGAACTTACTCCTTTCTTAGTCTTTCTTTCCATTAAACCATTTAAGGGGCTTCGCGGATTGGTTTATAACGTGTACACAGCGTGGTCACAAGTAAATAGACACCACCTTTTCAGAAAAAAATGGAATTTTTCAGTCATATTCACATGAATTAATATATTTATAATTTAATTAATATCTAGTAGATCTTCCTTTCACTTCGTGGAGTTCGTTGATCCTTTGGGGCATCGTGAGAATCATCTCGCCAATTTTAGATTATGGGATTTTCGCCCACTTTTGCTTCAAAACTTGGAGTAGATCGCTCTTCGAAGTTGGGTTTTTTGTTATTTTTTGACTTGCCGGTCGAGTATAGCCCAAAGGTTTTCGATGGAGTTCATGTCAGGAGATTGGCTCGGCCAGGGCAACTTCTGGATACCATTTTCTTCCTGCCATTTTTAGGGGTT